GTCGACTGCCCCACTGTTGAGTAAGCTCCGATTTTCAATTACATGATTACAAATTAGGTGTTGTTTACTGTTAAAAAAATAACGAAGAGTTTTGAATTGCGCGAAACCTTGAGGTCACGCTTTACTGATTGTTTTTCTTTACTCCCCCGTTAGAATTGCCTACTTCCCGTCGTCCAAAGTGGCTGAGCATCGAGCCAACTATGTTCCGGCTACTGATTTGCTGACCAACGGTAAGGAGACCGCCGTCTCCCTGGCAAACTGTTCTACCTCTGTTGGTTCTCTCATAGGAAGCCTGTAAGTTTCGATTTTCTCTTTACACCCTTTGCCCACAATTCCTACTGCTTGTTCATTTATATTACACTCACAGCATTGTAAGAGAGAGAAAGACATACTGACATGGTTGGTTGGCTTTCCGGTAGAAACGTCTTCTTTTAAGCGATGCTGTTATGCTGACTGGTTCTGAACATCCCCGGGGCCGAATGAAGGGTTGAGAGGCGGAGATCGCAGCTGTTCAGGTCCGCTAAGTAGCTTTATTCTATGCATGAAAGCTTACTTAGGCATGCAACGCTGAGTTAATTCATACGGGGATAGTATGCCGGTTTTTGGAAGAGCCTTCTATCCGTTATACTGCTGCGAGTGTCGAATTCCGACATGTGCGTGGCTTCATATGTTGTCAAGCAGCCCTTCATAGCACCCACTTTATCCTATTCTTTCCCTGTCGACAACGCTTGGATCACAATACGATGTCAGAACAACGCGAAATGAGCGTGGCCATTGTAGCTGGTATAGCAACATAATCGGACAACGCGTTCCATATATGATCTGTTTCTTTAAATTGGCACGTAACAGGTTTGCCTGAAGGGAACCCAAACCTAGATAGAGACGAGTTCTGTGGGGTTGGGGTTAACAAGCAACTCTAATACATTGACTCTCCGTTCCGGATAGCCCTGTTAGTTGGCGAGTTTTCCCGCCAGACATTTTAGTGAATCATTGAGGGGCGGGGGAGGGGCGATAGAATTTTGTCTCAAATACCAGTGTCCTGTTTGAACCCACAGCGGCCTGGGCCTCTACTTTGAATCGGTAGCGTGAACGACGGCCAAGGTCCGCTACACCAAACTCCTTGCGTTTAGGGCTACGACACACACGACACTCCTTATGTGGAATTTTGTATGAGCAAGCATTTCCGTGCTCTACTCAAGCCCAGTCGAGCTACCGGGTGCACGCTCAATATTTAAGCAAAAAGACAGTCTACATAACACACAACAACAGTCGCATGAACTCTCAGTAGAACACGTCTAGGTTGTGTCTTTCTACTCGTAATCTTACTTAGAATAACTGGTTCTGGTTTCAATAATTTTTCCCTGTTTGGCAAATCTAAAACCTATCAATGTTTTTCGGTGGTTCACATGGTTTCTGAACTGGTGTTCTATTTTTCAAACAAAGTGCGCCTATTGATGGGCCGTTTCATGATGAGAAAGCCGTTTAGGAGGCATAATTCACACTGTTTACGCCTAAGGCAGCTCAATTAATTAAGTTACGTATATGAGACTATGTGCTAATGATCGAAACATCCGGTACTTGCGAGCCCATAAGTCTTTACGCCTCCAAATGCGGAGGTTGTCGGACGCAGATGAGCATTAATTTTTAAATATGGGTGATTGAGCTGATTGATCGTACTTTTGTGCACTTCTCTTGTTGAGTTGATATTGCACACCCTGTCACAAAACCTATATTTGTGTCAAATATACTCAATCCGACCAGTCTTAGGAGCGTGTTACCACTTTTTTATCCTGAACTATCCTTTAGGCAGGTTTCTAGGTTGTTTTTTAGTGTTCGCTAGCCCAACCCGTCTATTTTGCTGACTAGACAGTTTTCTAATCCATCCATTCAGCTCTCAGTTTATTATTAAACAGTGCATCTAATCGTCCCTCGTTTATTTATATAAAACATAGGTTAAATTACCCTCCCCCTCCCCCACACTTCTATGAGTTGGCGTTCGATACGAATTCTGTTAAAGCCCCCTCCCTGACTTGTTGTCTGTCCCCTAGGCAAGATGAAGTGGTTTCAACGAACAACGTGGACCTTCTCCTGACCTCCGAACCGCTCACCTTTCCAGCTGATGCGCTAGATGCTGGACCCTGGCAACAGACTCGTGAAATAAAGTTGCTCAAACTTCCCGGAGAGTCAGGCTGGGGCCTAAGACTTACCGGTACGTCCGAAAAAGGGAACACCCTCAAACATTATTATGATTTTCCTAAAGTTTTCGAGTAATTACGACTGCGATTGAGGGCATATTTTTGTTTTTCGAAAAGCTCGATTCTACACTGCTGTATACATGCCGCTTTGCCTATCGTATTTGCCGACATAGACACGCACCTTTCAAAGAGGAAGGATTACCTAAATTATGTTGCATGGTCTACAGTTCAAAGTCAGTTCATACGTGGCCGTGAGAAGTATTCCGAGTACTTTCCTAAGCATGCTTTTAAAAAGGATTGCTTAGGCGCACTTTTCCTTCGTGAGTTTTGATAGACCGGAGAATGAAAAACCGACCTTGGTAATTGTAATTGTATTTTCCCGGCACTTCAAAAGCATACCAGCTTCCAGCGCCGGAGGTTAGTATCTTGCCGCGCCACATAGTATTGATGGGAGGAGTTATAGCAGGTGTTATTCAAACGGGTTTAGGCCTACAGTCGGAGCGGCAGTACTTGATGAGCGCTGTGGAGGTCTCTTCATAGGAATTCGAAAGGATCTGTTGCCTTTTTGAAGGAAAATGTGTCTCGCATGGCCTTTCAGCTATAATAGTAGGCTACCAAACAGGATTTACGTCAAACTATACCAAAATTACTAAAAATCCTGAAGACAGAAATACTTTGTTTATCCTGCTGTTACTTAAACAATGTGTTCATCCTTGCCGAATTTCCCATTGTAAAATCCTAAAGATAAATTGGTGAGTATACTTTTGCTTTCGATAAATTCTCTTCAGGCCCGTACGTTTATATGCTTATTAAATAGATCAACTATACTGGTTGGTGGAAAAGCGTAGTAATGTTGTTGTCAGGGCCAGTGGAGGGTGGGAGAAATTGAGTTCAAAATGTCAGTGTCTAGGCGGACCGGCGGCCAGGACAGGTAATAGGGTGTACGCGGTTGAATATCGGACTTGTCCGTCTCTGGGGGGAACCCGTTTCCGAGGTTGTGTTAGCGACTTTCGATCATGGTAACTGCGGCGCTGTGTTTATCTTTCAAAAACAGCTGGAAAGGTATCAATTCACAAGCCACCAGTTAACCATACTAAACTTAACCTGGAAACTGATTTTTATTCCTTTCAAGCGACAATCAAATACCTTTTTACATCGGAATGTGTAGCGAAAATATTCTTGTATATTTCATGCTATGTTATCATGTTATCATGCAGCAATCCGTAGTGGTACAACGTTGATTTTTACCATGTATTTTTTTCCGTCCCTATGGCAGTTTTGGATAGTTAACCTTTGATTTCTTTCCCATGTTCATCATTTTTGTATGCTTCTTCTGCTACTTGTGTCACAAGGCCCTGAACTCTGGGACCCCTCCTCCTCATCGCTGCAGTCTTTGCCGCTACCGCCTGGCATTAACCGGCCCTGTTTTGTCTCCGAAGTCATCTCCAAATCCGCTGCCGACCGTTGTGACCTAATTGAACCTGGGGACATTATCGTGGGGGTAAGGCATTTGTAATTCTGTCTTTTTTTTTCTGGATCCGCTGCTCCTCCCTGTTCGTTTTTAATCCAATATCCGTTTCCTACTGAACATCAGTGAGTAAGTGTTTTTTTTCAAATTTTAGGTAAACGGACTAGATGCGTCGTCTGCGGGCTGCCGGGGCGTTGCAGAGTGGATTTACTCCGCGAACTTAGTCACTGCCACTGCGGCCACCGTTGCCACCTCTTCCTCCTCCTCGTCCGCCTTTTCCCCCTCTGATGGTGATGCCCTGTCTTCCGCCCCCTCCCCCACGAACGCCGTTGGTCTGGATAACGAAGCGGCCATCCTCTACCTCCTTACCCTGCCCCTCAGCTCTCTTCCTACGGAGACGCTAAACCGTCTCGCAGCTCCTCTCCTCCTCAATGATCTCAGCCCTCAACCATCTGAGCAAAAACCTGATGGCAAATCCATTCTGCCTGTTCCTCTTCCCTCCTCTGTACTTAGTCCGACTGTCAAACTAGACCATCATGTGAGCACTCTGTTTTCGCTCGTTAGTTTTTTTTAAATTGTGCTGACGGGTACTCTTTTACTGCTGGTTAAAGCCCATTTTGAGATTGT